AATCGACCTTGAGATCAAGTGCTTATCCTATGGTGCCACACCAAGACTCCTGTAAACAAATGAAAAATATTTGTAAGGATTTCAGTTATTATAGCATAAAAATATGATGTAAGAATAAAGCCAGCATAAAGAGCTGCCCTCTGTCCCTAAATCCTTTGGTCTATTTCAGAACTCTGTAATCCATCCCACTGGCCAATTTATCTTTACTCCAAAACCTGAATGGAAAGAAAATAAAAATCCTCACAATGAGACCAATAAATGACATCATAATAAATGGAAAAACAGTTGAAGTTGTCAAAGACTTCATTTTGTTGGGATCCACAATCAACACTCATGGAAGCAGCAATCAAGAATCTGCTGCAAACAATATCTTTAAAGTGTTCAAGAGCAAAGATATCAGTTTGAGGACTAAGGTGTACCTGACCCAAGCCGTGGTATTATCAATATGCTTATGAAAGTTGGACAGTGAATAAGGAAGACAGTAGAATAATTGATGCATTTGAGTTATGGTGTTGGAAGAGAATATTGAAAGTGCCATGGGCTGCCAGGAGACCAAACAAATCTGTGTTGAAAGAATTACAGCCAGAATGTCCCTTAGAAACCAGGATGGCGAGACTTCATCTCTCATACTTCAGACATGTTGTCAGGAGGAACCAGCCCTTAGAGAAGGACTTCATGCTTAGTAAAATGGAGGATCAGTGAATAAAAAGAAGACCTCAAAAGAGATGCATTGAGGCAGTGACAGCAGCAGTGGGCTCAAACAAAGCAACAATTGTGAGACTGGCACAGGACCAGGCAGGGTTGTATGTAGGGTTTTGTTCTGTTGTATGTAGGGTCGTTATGAGTCAGAACTGACTCAACAGCAGATAAAAATGATTAACAACACCCAAACCACCCTGTCTTAATATACCCACCACCATCAATTGCCGTCAAATAAATTCTAGCTCCAGGAAACCCTACATGTGTGAGAGTAGAACTATGTAGACTTCATTGGGTTTTCAAGGGTTGGTCTCCAGGTCTTTCTTTCAAGGCACCTGTCAGAATTTCAACCTTTTGATTAGGTGACGAGCACAGCATCACCCAGGGACTGCTCCATTATACTATAGCTTTGCAACATGTCTTACTATCTGGTAGGGCAGGCCCTCCAACTTTGTCCTTCAAAAATTTCTTAGAGCTCCTTGCCTTTTCATTTACATATGAATTTTAGAATCAACTTATCAAAGTCCGCAAAAGAACCTACTGGATTTTTATCAGAAATAAATGGAATGTAAAGAGCAATATGGGGGAGATTAACGTATTTATCATATTTTAATCTTCTTATCCATAAATTGACATATCTCTCCATTTATTTAGGTCTTCTCTAGTAAATACCCATGTTGTATTTTTTCATAGAGGCCTTTATGACCACAAGGTCTCTGCTCCAACTACTCAGCTCTACTGCTGTAGTGCAAAAGCAGCCACAGATGATCTGTATGTGAATGGGTGAGACTCAATTTGCTGTGGTCTGCAGATCTGCACGGGAGAAAGATGAGGCGTTCTGCTCCCGTAAGGATTTACAGCCTCGGAAACCCTGTGCAGGGTCACTATGAGTTGGAACCGACTCCACGGTACTTAACAACAACACAGCTCTGTCCTGCAGAGGCTGTTCTCAATGCTGATGAATTATAAGTCAGATCCTGTCACTTGTCTATTACAAATCCTCCAGTGGCTTCCCATTAAGGCAGGATCCTTTCAATATTCTACAAGGCCTTGGTCTAACCCTGTTACCTCTCTTAACTCCTGCTGCAATCTCTGTCTTACTCATTGAGCTCCAACTATACCAAGCTCTTTTCTGCTTCCAGAACATAGCAGGCTTGCTCCTACCTCAGGGCATTTGCACTGCCATTGGCCCTGCCAACGTCACTCTCCCCCCACCCAGCTATCCATCTGGAGAGCTCAATTCTTTTAAGTCTTTAATCAGATGTCACTTCTTAAATGAAGCATTCCCTGAGTATCCAGTGTAATTCCTAGCTCCACTCCCTCCCTGACATCTTCAGTCCTCTTTTCTCACTTCTATATTTTCCATAGCACGAATCATCTTCTAACATGTTATATAACTAACTCACTTTCATTATATTGGTTACATATTGTCTGTATTCTGCCCCCACTATACTTTAAACTCAGTGAGACAGGGGTTTTAATCTGTCTTGTTTGCTGTTATATCCTCAATGCATAAAACAATAGCTGTCTTACAGTAGGCACTCAATAAATATGCATTGGATGGTTGGATGCATGAATAGATGGATAGCCGGGTCAAAGAGATACCATTGACTGGAATTCCCTGTGCGGTATTCTGTGGAACCTTAGTCCTACAAGACAGAATAAGAGTAACTACTGGAATCTGGGTGAGAAAGTTCTACTCATTATTGAACTCTTCGATGGAATTAAATTCCTTACCAAGTATGAGCAATATTTCACGGGAATTATTCAAGAGAAGCCTAGAAGATGGTAATTAAATCCCATCAATGTTGTATAAGCCATTCTTATAATAAGATGGAGACTGGATGCTATGTCCCTTGAAGTGTCCCAAACACAGGCCACCACAAGGTCTGTGGACCTCCCCAGGTATTGGTTAGCCATGATGGTAATACCGTCTATTCAGTTTGTGGCAAGAACTTAGGGATTGTTGAACCAATTAATTTTTAACATCAGTATAGTATTATTGTTCAGTCATGAGATTTTCTCCTTGTAGAAAAATTGAAACCTCTAGTAGGAATTATTAACAAAGGAGTAGAAATATTTGTGTACCTTGAAATATTAGTCACTGTAAAATAGAAGGAGCAATCAAGTCCTAGTGCAGATTGCTGGGAGAAACATTATAGCTAATGTAACCTCTTTTTTTACATTAATTCTTTAAATTTTTTTACTAACATTGGTTATGTTTCTTATTTTTACCTGATATTTTTTATTATATGAAAGAAAACAAAATACTGGATTCTGTCATTATTATTATTTTTTTTAATATTTTCTTTGTTACTGAATGTTACCTATTAAAGTACACTGAATGTGCATACCTTGTTATATAGCCATACGGGTAGATGTTCTAAAACATAATGATTCCTCTTCTCTTTTGAGAGATTGTGTTTAGGGGATTCAACAAATTCATCATCAAAATAGTAGTTTTCTCACAGAACAGCTGGTAGGTTTGAATTGCTGGCCTTGAGGTTAGCAAGCTAGTACTTACTCTACATCTCCATATGGAGTCCCCCTGTGGTGCTGTAGGATAAGCACTGGACTGCTAACTGCAAGTTCGAAAGTTCAAACCCACCAGCTGCTCCTCAGAAACCCTATACAGTGTTGCTTTGGGTTGGAATTGATTTGACGGCACCTGACAATAACATATATATGTGTGTGTATATATGGGGTGTGTAAATATATATACATTTCTCACAGTGCTACACCAGGATTCCTACACACGTGCGCACACAACTTAAAAACAACCGTGAGGATAGTGCAGGACCTGGCAGTGTGTCATTGTATTGTGCGTAAGGTCTCTATGAGTTGGAACTGACTCAATGGCACCTAACAACATGACATATCTAATGGGACTGTGAACCACAAAGTTGGCAGTTCAAGCCCTCTAGCTACTCCAAAGGAGAAAAATTAGGTGTTCTGCTCTCACCAAGATTTACAGCCTCAGAAAACCTAGACTGTGATGCTATGAGTCGGAACTAACTCAGTGACACTTAACAACAACAACAATATATATATATATACATATAGATATAGTGAAGTTGGCCCAGGATAGGACATTGTTTCATTCTGCTGTGCATGGGGTTGCTATGAGTCAGTTCCGACTCAATGGCACCTGACAACAACAACAACAGATATGTATTTATACATATGTCTATATCAGTATGTCTTGGTATGGGGCCATAGGATAATCACTGGACCACAAGGTCAGTTTGAACCACAACGGCGGTGATTCAAACTCACCAGCTACTCCTCCGAAACCATATATAGGGTCGCTGTAAGTCAGAAGCAACTCAAAGACACTTAACAACAATGATTAATATGAATACTTCTTTCAAGTTTCTCAAAAATTATACTCATCAGATTTCTGGCCAACATGAATAAACTATAGAGAAGGGAGCAGTGGGGTGAAGATGAGAGCAGGAAAAGTTTTTTTTGTTTTTTAATATCTTAAATATACAAAAAAGTATGTTTTTATATCTTCTGATTCATTCTCCCACTTTAGCATATGTTGACATGTATAAAGAGTCCAAATAAATCTAGGCTTTTAAGTCAACCTGTGTCTCTTCCCAAATTAACAAATCTTTACCCACTATCTAAGGTTCTTTTAGTAAAAATGAAAACTGTATGTCAGTATAAGCATTTTGCTTTTCTTCTTAGGCTATTTTCATTTGTTTCTTCTGCACCCTTTTAATGGAATTTGTAGGTCTCTTGAAAGGTAAGGTTGAAGTTTGTAAGTCTAGCCTGCACTCAATAACAAACCTATTTGAAATGCAGGATTTTGCTTCACCTTCCGGCTCAGGGGAAAAATAATCCACCTTTCATATTTAACCAAAATCATTTTCCATTCATATTCAAGAGATATTAAGCAGTTTAACATACTAGCTTCTCTTCTTGCCATAAACTTTTAACCCCTTTAGAAAAAAAAAAAGTAATTTTCAACTTTTTCCAATTCTTCCTTTTGTCATGCTTGTGATTATTTCAGAATTGCTTTCAAATCACGAGTCAGAATCTGTCATTGAAATTTATATGCACAATAAGAAGCCATCCACTCTACTGAAGACTTCATGATGAAACCATTTCAGCACCTGATTCTCATCCCAATCATACCCTAGTAATTGGAGTCAACCTTACAATTGGATTTGGGGGGTGGAGCCCAGGACTCCATGTGCTTTATCATAATTTGCATGCATGATCTTTAAAAATAAAAAAAATAAAAAAACTTTGGCTACAGGCCAGTCTTGACAAAAACGTTTTTCTCTTTCCAGTGATACAGAAGGCCATAATCCTTCAAAAAACGGAAGTCGAACGTCTTCAAACAGAACTGTGAAAAAGGGAGACAGTGATGATAGTCTAGTTGACTATGGAGAGGGGGTGAACGGCCAGTTTAATGAGGATGGCTCCTTTATTGGACAATACAGTGGTAAGAAAGAGAAGGAACCAGCTGAAGGAAATGAAAGCTCAGAGGCACCGTCTCCCGTCAATGCCATGAATTCCTTCGTTTAATTTTTAAGCTCTTTGCCAATATCCCATTTCTCTAGAATGTTTATCTTAAGCACTTGGCTGTCTGTCCTCTTATATACTATGAACATATAGGTAGAAAATGTATTTTCTACTGTATGTTGTTATCATAAGAACAGTTAGACCAAGAACTTAATCAGTCAAATGATAATGTGAACTGGAGTGCAAAGTGCATACTTTTTTCTTCAAAATGGGTATTCTTGATTTCCTCTGCGCTGATAAAATAATACAGCATCGTCAACAGATCGTGTTATTTCCTCTGGATACACTTCAATATGATGCATGAAAAAATTCTATACATTTAAAAAGCATACCTGTGTATATTATTAAAACATGGTTCGATACTTTGTTGATACTGTCCTCTGCTGAACCCCTGAATATGAATTCCGTTTTCATTGTCAAGAGTGTTACTGTAGTATCTTCTAGAACTTCAATGTCTTTGTGGACATTGTTGTGGAATTGGTGACTCTATGTCTAGCTGTCGTTAGTCTTTTTGGGAGACTGTTAGGAACAGTATGTACAGTATATACTTGCTAAATGAGTTAATTATGACAGTTGCATTTGTTGATGCTTCCTGAGACTTTGTTACCTACACTTTGCTCTTGTTACTTCGTAGCCTTCTTAATGGGCCAGGTATCAAAGCAGTACAGTGTTCTCCTTTCCCAGCATTTCTGTGTTGGATTTTTCCAGGCATAAACAGTGTGCATTGCCATGCATTTTGGGCACGTGTGCCATACTGAACGAACTGGAAACAAACCACTAAAATTCAGTTTCAAAACGATTCCAGAAGACACGGGGCAAGATCTATGCAGTGCCTTCAGACAACATTCCAAAACATACCACTTTCTGTACTAGCCCCTAGAGTCAGTCCCAGATCTTAGATGAGTCTCATTGTCTAGAGGAACTTTAAAAAAGCAGAGCTAATGAGATCATGAAAACTTCAATGCGAAAAAAAGGAAATGTGAAACAGTAATAATAAGAAGAAGACAATTTATTTTAAGGAGCATTTTTTTCCTCCTCAGCATAAAAAGAAAACGCTTTATTACCACCTGGAACACATGATAATTAAAACAAGTCAAACTCAATAAGGAAGATGTCAACTTGGTAGAAAACAAGATTTTTAAGTTATTCTCAAAATAAAAATCTACAACATCATGCCAACAGTAATAAATTATTCTCTAAGTTTTACCTGCCTTTGTGGTAGCTTGTGAGCCTTTCTGCAGCATTAAGCAACATGTATGCAAATTGCTACTACACATTTTGGGATCTAAGAAATCTGACAAGTGTTAACAAGGCCAATAGTCAAAATGATTACATCTGCAGTTTGAAAAATAAATATATATATATATGTGTGTAGTCTACCATATTCATGAATGATAAATAGCAAATGGTTTACCTCCAAATATGAAATTCTATAACAACCTATGGTTGAAGAAATGCTCAGTTTCATTTGCCAATAAATTGGTTTCTCATAACTTGCATCAAGTTTAATTTTAAGTAAAGCTTTTTATATGTAGATATTTTGTTGAATTTGTAAATACACTGAAAGTCTAGATGCTATTTGCTTATTGGTGTGACATACCAGTAAACAAGCCAACAATGTTTACGCTGTACTGTGTAAGAAGTAAGCTAGCTAACAGAATGCATGGGATTAGAAAGCATCTGCTGAAATACTTTTTGGGTTGGGCTTGTTTCCTTTTTTTTTTTTTTTTTCTCTCCTTCTTTTGCTGTGAAACTGAAATGGTGAACTACTCTACACATTGACAGCTGGTTTCTGAAGATGAAATCTTCAGGACTTTGCCTATGGGAAACAATAGGCGGAATCACGTGGCACCTTTTATATACGTAGGTAAAGCACAGTTTGAAGTAAATCCAGGTAAAGATGGCCTTAAATACTTCCAGGTGTCCATATTCACTTTTTCCAAGTCAACCTGTCCATTTGGAAATTCAGAGATAAAACACGCTTGCCTTGCATCAGAGAGAACAAAGATAAAAGTTACTTTCAATTTGCTGATGTTTCGCAATAATGACCAAAGTTTTGACTCTTCCATCATGGTAGATACTAAGTGTATCTGTGCATGAAGAGGTCACTTCTGTAATAGTACAACAGGTTTTGTATTAAAAATGAAGTGTGGTTTTAAAAGTCCCTTTCTTTTTTGTAATTTCTCATGTTCCAAGTGGAGTGTGAATGTCCCACATAGTGGTAATGCAATAGCACAGGAAAATGTGAATGGATTTCCATCCAATAGTCATTATTAACCAGTCAGGATTTCTTTGTGACTTCTAATTCATTCACACATAAATTCCCTGATATTTTCAAATGTTGTAAAATTTGAATTTTTTAAATTTTTTAAAGGATACTTCTCAGAACCTCTAAACAGGGTCACTCTGAGTCAGAACTGATTAACAGTAACAACAGCAGCATGTATAAATACAAAGAAAATTGAATACAGAGCTCTGGTAGCGTAGTGGTTACGAATCCGGCTGTGAACCTCAGGGTCAGCAGTTTGAAACTACCAGCTGTTCCGCGGGAGAAAGGTGAGGCTTTCTGCTCCCGTAAATATTTACAGCCTCGGAAACCCTATATAGGGTCACTATGAGTCAGAACCGACTCCACAGCAGCACATAACAGCAACAAACATAATGAGGCATTATGGGATAAGCACTGAACTGCTAGCCACAAGGTTGACAGTTCTAACCCACCAGCCTGCTCCTCGGAAACTCTATACAGGGTCGCTATGAGTGGGAACCAACTCAACAGCACTTAACAACAACAAACTTAATATGGTGAGTATGATAAGCACTGGACTGCCAGTCACCAGGTTGGTGACTCAACCCCACCAGCCACTCCATAGGAAAAAGATGAGGCTTTCTGCTCCAACAAAAGATGTTGAAACAAAAGCCCCAGAAACATTACACAGGGTCACCAGGAGTCGGAACCAACTCTGGCACTTAACAAACATAATATGAAACAGTTAATAAAAGTATATAATTTATTTTATTTTTTAGTGAAAAGTAGGAAAAGATATTATGAGCTTCTTTGAGAAAAGGTCTGAGAAATCTGATGCTGCCTTGAAAGCCAGCCTGTGTTCCTGGCCGTGGTACCTGCTGTCTGTCAGGGCCCGCTCTCCTGTTTGCCTGGCTGCCACCCTCCATTATCACAGGCTGATTGGAATCCTTAACTTCTCCTGCTTCGTGAGACAATTTGGGTATTTCCAAATATTGCTTTCATGGCAATCTCTAACCCCCATTCTTCTCATTAGCTCATATTTTCCCAGCTCCTTCAACAGCTGAGCTCTGGATAGGACCCATGAGTTACCACCTGTCCGGACTGGCTGTCCACTCATGAACCCTTCTGCTGGCACAGAGCTTGTCTCCCTACACTTTAATCTGGTGACATCATTTTATTGAAATGAACTGTAAAATGTGACAAGAGCCTCCCAGTTGTGCTCTGGAGGGCATTTCTGTCACTCACTGTATTCAAGCAAATCAGAGCCTCCCTTGTCCCATCCATCTGTGGGTCCCACTCAGTCCACACAGTCTGAGACCATCATCTGTCACAACTCTGCTTAGCAACTGATGCTGCTGGTGAATCATCAATGTAACCATGATAGAAAAAGTCTCCATCAGTGCTTCAGAGGATTATAATGGCCCTGCTTTCATCTTAATGATTACTTTGGAGATTTGTTTGTAGAGGCAAGGGAATGGAACACAGGAACTATATGAAAAGTCTCACCTAAAATGAGCTCTGTTGGCACAATGGTTAAGCACTCAGCTGCTAAATGGAAGGTTGAAGTATCCTCAGAGACAGAAAAAAAAACAACAAAAAAACCTTGGTGGTCTGCTTCTGTGAACATTACAGCCTTGGAACCCCCAGGAGCATCTATCTGTTACTTGGGCTGCTATGAGTTGAAACGGACACAGGACAAACTAAGGGAATCTCTCCTTTTTGTGAGTTTTTTTTTCCGAAAATGACCACCAGAGGGCTCCCGTGTTTTTAATCTGCACAAAGGAAACACTGTGCCTCGTTTTATTTCGCTTGCTTTACAGATATCTTTTTTTTTTAATTAATTACAAACTTGCAGCAATCCTTCCTTGAATGACTTTATCAGCTCCATTTTTCCAACAACACCTGCTTACTTTGTGTCTCTGTGTCTCGTTTTACTCATTCTCACAATATTTCAGATGATACAGCCTTGCTTGCTGAAAGTGAAGAAGACTTAAAATATTTACTGATGAAGATCAAAGAGCATCATCGCCTTCTGTATGGATTGCATCTCAATGTGAAGAAAACAAAAATCCTCGCCAGTGAACCAATAAACAACATTCTTATCAACGGAGAAAAGATTGATGTTGTCAAGGACTTCATTCTTCTTAGATCAACTATCTCACCGAAGCAGCAGTCGAGAAATCAAACGACGCATTGCATTAGGCAAATCTGCTGCACAAGATCTTTTTCAAGTGTTGAAGAGTAAAGATGTCAGCTTGAGGACTAAGGTGCGCCTGACCCAAGCCATGGTATTTTCAATAACCTCATATGCATGTGAAAGCTGGACAGTGAATAAGGCAGACTGTAGAAGAATTGATGCATTTAAGTTATGGTGTTTGAGGAGAATATTGAAAGTGCCATGGGCTGCCAAAAGAAGCAACAGATCTGTGTTGGAAGAAGTGCAGCCAGAGTGCTCCTTGTAGGTCAGGATGGCTAAACTTCATCTCTCATACTTCAGATATAGATATTGTCAGGAGGGACCAGTTGCTAGAGAAGAATATAATGTTTGATAGAGAGGAGGATCAGAGAAAAAGAGGAAGACCCCCAGAGAGATGAATTGGCAAAGTGGCAGCATCAATGGGCTCAAGCGTGGCAACAATTGTTAGGTTGGCCCAAGATTGGGCAGTGTTTTTTTCTGCTGTGCATAGGGTCCAACTTGATGCCACCTAACAACAACAACAACACAATATTTCAAACTTTTTATAATGCTAACTGAACAGTTAGGAGTCCTGGTTCCTGGTGTGGCGCTGTGGGGTTAATTCGCTGGACAGTAAAGAGTCAGTTTGACCTGTAAGACCAGCAGTTCAAACTCACCAGCTGCTCCTCGGAAACCCTACATAGGGTTGTTGTGATTCGGAATTGACTTGATAGCACTTAACAACAACAACATTGAGCAGTTGCTATTGAAGGAGCTCTGGTAGCATAGTGGTTATGAGTCGGGCTGCTAACCTCAAGGTCAGCAGTTCGAAACTACCAGGTGTTCCATGGGAGAAAGATGAGGCTTTATGCTCACTCATCTTTATGAGGGAGAAAGATTGACAGCCTCCTACACAATGTCACTATGAGTCTGAACCAAATCCACAACACTACCACTATTGTGTAAACACAACTTTTATATGCACAGGTTGTTA